AATCAAGGTGATGTGATTCTTAAATTTTAGCATATTCGCATAATAATTTGTCATAATATATTGATGATAATTCGACAAATTGATATATTCCTCTAGAAAATTATAATGATTTTTGAACAAACATTGGTTAATAAAATTTAAAATTAACAATTTAATTCTACAGATTAATTGATAATTTTGAACGATAAGGTAACTGACAACAAATCTTAAAAAATGTGAGATATATATAATACATACATATATATATATATATATATATATATATATATTATACATGAAATATATAAAAAAGTTTATTTGTGTAGTCTAAATTTAGGTTCTAAATTTAAAGATCAAATAAGTAGTTAGTCATAACTTATGCTAATATTAACTTGGATGCAAATGAATTATTCAATTATTTATAGTTTAATAAATTATTCAACTACTTAATTTTTTTGATTTGGACAGGTCATAAGAAAATAAATTCATTTTAGTTAATGAAACAATATAAGTTTTGCAATTATACGTATTATTCACATAGATTTAAATATGATAAAATTTTACCAAAACATTTATTTTATTTCATCTGTAGAATTACATTGTAGTCAAATCGAAATTTTGAATAAAATTTTTAAAAATAACTTTATTTTGAAATGAATATAATATAAATTATTATTAGTTACGTGCATTGTATGTGTTGTGTACTAATTTTACATATAAATATTTTATGTAATTTTGTACAATTCAAATTTCGTATAACATTATTAAAAATTAATATAGGTAAATTGTATTACATATTGATTCAATATTCTTAATTTGTAAAATATTATTTAATGCATATTATTTATTTATAAATACTAATAAATATTTCTTACTAGTGCATCGCACGCGAATCCTAGTAATTATTATTTGAAAAAAATAGTGTATAAAACTTACTTCCTAGCTTTAAACATGGCAATTATTTCTTTAAGTTTGGATACTTTTTTCCAAAAAAATATATTCATTTGTCAGATTCACGTGCTTAAATATATATCATGATTTGTTTAACTATAATATAATATATAGTCATTTCAATGGATAACATGTTTATTGCACAAAAATCTCTTCCAACAATAAATAGAAGCTAACAAATGTAAAGGATGGCGTGTATGATTTATAGCACATAGAATTGTTCTTTTTTTTTTATGTGCAAATGGAAATATAACTGTTACATACATATTTTTATATAGTTACTAAAATGAATTATGTATACATTGAACCACTCTCATAAGATACCTATGTCTATTAATATATAGTAGATATAGTGATTACTTGAAATAGTATAGAAATTCCAGTTTCAGGTTTTCAAAATTACTATTCGAAGTATTTTTTATTTTGGAAAATGACGGTTGAATGATAAATTTGAATTCAAATTAAAAATAAAAAAAAATTGAGAAAAATATTGTGTAAACCTTATATCCTATAAATATGGGTAATAATTTATTCAAATGATATGGGTAATATGGTCAATAATTAGAAAAAATCTTGAAAATATTGCTTCCAAAAAATTTGGTCAACGAATAAAACGTTTGATTTTTTTTAATCTATCTATACTTATATTAAAAGTCATCCTATTTACCAAAAATAGTAGCAAGAAAAGTCAACTCACATTTAATGCATACTTTATTTGAAAATCTTTTACTATATGCATTAATTGCTTGCATATACACATTTTCTATTCAAATATGATCAAAAAGATTGTTTCCTTAAATAATTTTATTAACTTCTGCAATAATTTTACTTATATATATTATAATTCATATTTGACGATAGTATTTTTTAATTTTTATTTGAGTATACAAAAAACAAATATTTTTTTAATATAATATTTTATTTATCATTTAAGAGATAATGATCACATCATTAAATGATATTACTGATGGCTAGATAATAAATTAAAATACATTAATTATTCTTTAAAATTTTGGCATGTTATTTATTTATATATCTATACTTATTATATAAGGTATCCTATTTACCAAATTTAGTAGATTGAAAAGTCAACGTAATTAATGCATTGCTATTTCTCTCCAGAATTTTATTTACTTATTTTATTTATTTATCTTATATCCCATAAAATCAGTTTAAGAAAAAAATCCCATAACATCTTACAAGTAAAAAAAAAAGACGTAAAATCTTTACTAAAATAAAAAGACTTTATTTATTTGTCTTATTCCATATTAACATCGATTTTGTCAAAAAAAATCCCATAAAATCAGTGAAGTCAAAATTTGTACGTAAAGTCTATCTATACTTAAAAATAGTCAGATTAAAAATTCTTTATCTAATTCCTTCCTTTTCTTATCTAATTCCTTCTTTTCCTTATCTAATTCCTTTTTATTATCTAATTGTATGAAAATCTGTTCTGATTTTGTTCAATCCTCTAATTGTATTTGTATTATATTCCATAAAATCGGTTTAACAAAAAAATCTCATAACATCCGATAAGTAAAAAAAATACGTAAAATCTTTACTAAAATAAAAAAGACTTTATTTATTATCTAATTTATTATCTAATTGTATGAAAATATGTTCTGATTTTGTGGTACGTACTACAAATTGTGCACCAGTATTCAGGAGCTACTTAGCGGGCAAGCTCTGTGGAAATGACTCATTTAGTGTTTCTGTCTCGTGCATACGGTATGTATTTTTATTACACATACTAGAAAATTGTGCACCCCGTGCATCGCACGGGCTCTGTACTAATAAATGACCTTAAAATCGTGCACCACGTGCATCACCCGTGTTCACATTTTGGCCTATTACAGGTTACATACTATATATATCCCGTACATTTTTTTATTTATTTATATAATTATAAGACTCGATAAATGATTTTAAAATTGTACACCCCGTGCACTGCACGGGCTCTGTACTAGTACTTATATTAAAAGTCATACTATTTACCAAAAATAGTAGCAAGAAAAGTCAACTCACATTTAATGCATACTTTATTTAGAAATTTTTTACTATATGCATTAATTGCTTGCATTTATACATTTCTTATTCAAATATGATCAAAAAGATTCTTTCCTTAAATAATTTTATTAATTTCTGCAATGATTTTACTGATATATATTATTATTCATATTTGTCGATAGTATTTTTTAATTTTTATTTGAGTACATAAAAAACAAATATTTTTTTAACTTAATATTTTATTTATCATTTAAGAGATAATGATCACATCATTATATGATATAACTGATGGCTAGATAATAAATTAAAATACATTAATTATTCTTTAAAATTTTGGCATGTTATTTATTTGTATCTATACTTATTATATAAGGTATTCTATTTACCAAATTTAGTAGATTGAAAAGTCAACGTAATTAATGCATTGCTATTTCTATCCAGGATTTTATTTAATTATTTTATTTATTTTTCTTATATCCCATAAAATCAGTTTAAGAAAAAAAAAATCCCATAATATCTGACAAGTCAAAAAAAAAGATGTAAAATCTTTACTAAAATAAAAAGATTATATTTATTTGTCTTATTCCATATTAACATTGATTTTGTCAAAATAAATCTCATAAAATCAGTAAAGTCAAAATTTGCACGTAAAGTCTATCTATCCAAAAAAAAGTCAAATTCAAAATTCCTTATCTAATTCCTTCTTTTTCTTATCTAATTCCTTCTTTTCCTTATCCAATTTTTTTATTATCTAATTGTATGAAAATCTGTTCTGATTTTGTTCAATCCTCTAATTGTATTTGTATTATATTCCATAAAATCAGTTTAACAAAAAAAATCTCATAACATCCGATAAGTAAAAAAAATAAGGTACGTAAAATCTTTACTAAAATAAAAGGCTTTATTTATTATCTAATTTATTATCTAATTGTATGGAAATATGTTCTGATTTTATGGTACGTACTACAAATTGTGCACCTGTGTTCAGGAGCTACTTAACGGGCAAGCTCTGTGGAATTGACTCATTTAGTGCTTCTGTCCCGTGCATATGGTATGTATTTTTATTACACATACCAGAAAATTGTGCACCATGTGCATCGCATGGGCTCTGTACTAATAAATGACCTTAAAATTGTGCACCCCGTGCATCACCCGTGTTCACATTTTTGCCTATTACAGGTCACGTACTATATATATCCCGTACATTTTTTTATTCATTTATATAATTATAAGAATGGATAAATGACCTTAAAATTGTGCACCACGTGCATTGCACGGGCTCTGTACTAGTCTTTTGGGAAAGTCATGCCAACTTAACTATTAAATATTTTTTATCTATATTTATCTATCTAAAAATCTCATATTTTATGATCACAACTAAAAATTCGTATTTATTTAGTAAAGAATCTTAATTTCAGAAATTAATTTTATATTTTTTTTATTGTTCAACTTATTTGATAATTTTGTCGTCCATATTTATCTAACAACAAAAAGTTATAAAGTTTAGAAAGAATCGCATATTATATGGATTCTTGGTAGCTAATGTTTTGTACAAACTTTAGTGAGAATATTAATATTTCATATTTATGAAATAACAAATAAAAAGCATGACGATTCATATAATTATTTTTTCAACTATCATGTGTTAGATGTCTTTGGTTTGATTGGAAACACTCATTCTATTCAAACAAATAATATAATTTTTTTCATATTCTATTTTTTTTTTCTTGCAAGAATGATATGTTAAATATCATTAATTATGTTTAAAATAAACTTTGAAAAAAAGTTTTAAGTTACAAGCCTGTCCGTGCATCGCACGAGATGCACACTAGTAAGATAAGAGAAGATATAAGAGAGATTATATTAATACAAAATATAATTTATATTAAACAATTTATAAATCAAATTCTCTCATGTGGGAACCCTAATTCTCTCAAGAGGGAGCAAAAAAATCCTCTTTCTGATCATCTCTTCTTTCATATTTCCTGTGAGATTTGAAATCATAATCGCCTATTGATAAAGTGTTGTGTGAATTTACGGGGTTTTTTACCCTATTTTGTAAAATGGGGGACGATATGCCTAGTAGCAGCAAAGAACGCGACCTTGAGGAAGAAGTGATTAAGAAGCTGACCGACTGCTCATTATCGGTGAAGGAAGCGGGTGATATAGAGATACAACCAAGGGATGTTAAAAACAGCGAGGAGGAGTGTCGGCGGAGCTTGTTTGGAAAGGTGGTCGGCGACAGGGTAGCAAGTCTACTGGGAATTAAACGGGCAATGACATACATTTGGAAAATACACCAACCTATGGAAGTGAAGAGATAAGTAAAAATATCTTCCAATTCATATTCAGCTCGATAGAAGATAGGAAAAAAGTTGCTGCTGGCCATAATAGGCACTATGAAAATCAATATTTAGTGCTGAAGGAGTGGTTTCAGGGGCTGACAGCAAATCATGAAGCCTTTGATGAAATCAAGCTATGGGTTCAAATTTTGAATGTCCCTATTAATTGGATGAGTACTGAGGTGGGGATGAAACTGGGGGTATCTTTAATGGTGTCAAGAATGTGAATGTCTGCAAAACAGGGGGTGAGCTGGGTAGTTTTTTTAAAAATCCTAGTTGTTGTGGATACAAAAGAGCCAATTCCGAGATGTACTAATGTGAAACTTGGGGATGAAAGGGTGAGAGTGTCTTTTAGATATGAGAGGTTGGTCGACCTTTGTTACTACTGTGGAAGGATAGGCCATCTAGATAGAAATTGTGGGGAGAGAATGGAGGATATTGACAAGAAGAAAGTAAAGGAAGGGCAATTTGGAGAACGGTTAAAAACTACTGAGAAATTCCCTGGGGGCAGGAGTAGCTATGCCAGCAGTTCTGATGTTAAAGCCAACCAGCCCATTTTCAACTCAAATCAGAATCCTCTTGGGTCTGAGTGTGAGACTCCATCTTCATCTCATCAAGATCGGATCAAAGGACCAGATCAGAGGAAGGAAGCCCACAGTGCTGTGAAGGGTTGTACAACTTTAATAATTGGAGAGGAGGAACACCCAACAATACAAGCACCTGAGGAAGAGGAGATTCCTAACGAGGGGGAGAACTTCGCCAAGATGATTGAGAACCCTATGGACATTGAAGTAGTGACTGGGAGCCCAACAAATGAAGTAGAGAAAAACTTCGCTATGATCAATGTAGAGAGGCTTGTGAAGACTCACAATGCAACATGGAAAAGGAGGACGGCCTCTGGTAGACTATCCAGGATGTCTGAAAGCTGGGAGAAAGTTGTTAGTGGGACTAATTCAAAGAGGAATAGAGAATTGGTGATTTACTCTGAGTCCAATTGTGAAAACAGTGAGGAGAGTAGGGAGAAGAGGAGGAAGTTTCAGTCTGATGTTGAAAAGGTGGAGAAGGCCAGTCTAAAGTGGCCCCAAGGTTGTAATATCCCGTCAGTTTATCAGTATAAGTTATGTTTTTAGTTCCGATATTAATTTTCGGAATTAAATTATTTCAGTCATTTCAGTTAAATTACC